AAAATTATGTTTTATAATTCTCCTTCGTGTGATATTTTTCAAAACACTCTCCAACATGCAGGCCAGGTTTTCGAGTGCGTGTATCGCAAAAATAATTGGTTTGGTGCCTTCTACCCTTAATCTTTCTGTTTGAACATACACTACAATCTTTACTTTTTACATTTTTACAATGCCGCAATATATGCAGTTTTCTATTAAGTCTTTCTTCCTTATGAGGTCGATGGTGTTCCTGGTTTTGAATCTGTTCCTTCACGAAAATCACCTACCAGTTTATGCCACCAATTTTCGAACGAGCATAAAATATGACATAGGTATCCTGTTCTTTCTTCTAGCTGAATTTTGGGGAATTATTTTGGAATATTTTAAGAAGAGAGATGTCTAATTACTGTTAAATACAATTTATAAAATATCCTTTGGAATTCTACAAGTTATTGTCAAACGTTGTCGATTTCATTACATTCAAAAGACGACTGACTCGCCACTGCGTCTTGCATGGTGAGCGCAGGGTCACAACTTTTGTTTAGATTAGATTACATTATCTCCAAATGATGGAGCACCATATTGGTTCGTGAAAAGGTTCTTTAGACATTGAGGTTCGTATAGTAAAAGTGTAAACTGATACATGAATGCATACAGTATACGATTCGTATAGTTCCTTACTGTGGTGGCTGAGAGCAGACATAAAACCGGAATGGTAAAAAGGCTTTGGTGGTTGAGAGCAGACATATGACCGGAACGGTAAAAAGGCTTTGGTGGCTGAGAGTGGACATATGACCATAAAGGCTTAATACTAGGAAGTAGATCAGACATGTTAAAGGTCAGGATAACATATTTTGTGTTAATCAATTGACCATCCTTGTGCATCTTGATTGGACCTGTGTCATCCATAGCTTACAACCCATAATAATCCTCTAAGTTCAGAAAATGCAATAAGAATATCCACTCTCACCCTCATACACACAGGAGCGCCTTTAGAAAACACACTTAAATTATTCCATTTATTGAGACAACCGTGACTTTTCTCATACTACTCAAACTACGAACTATGAACTACTTCATACTGTGCAATGTGTGACAGATACAACAGTACTATGTACTCAACACTATGTACCATGATTTGAATTCATAAACTGTATGCTGAACTATGAATGAACTTAAAAACTGTACACCGTGTAAAACAAAACAAACAATGAACCACATACCATAATCACTCCACACACCAACAAATCTCCAAACTGAAACACAAAAGAAATATATATACACATCTGTTAATAACTTATAGTAATTATTGTATTTATCCATTCAACTGCAAAGTACCCGTGTTAAGTATATCTTAGACAATATTGTGCTGCAATGCAAATTATGCACCATTAATATATAACTGTGTATATACAAATGCCCAAGCACAGCGTTAGCGTGCCCCATCAGGGTGCACTTCCATAGATGGTTAGTGCAGTGGGGTGATACCAGTTTTGCCCATGGCAATGTTTTAGTGCCCCCTGTACTTCTGTCTGTCTGTGCCTAGCATCACAGACATTCTATTCTGCAAATTCCTCAATGATTTCATTGTCTGAAATGGATTACAAGTCAAATTCAGAGATAACCCATTATAACTGATTTATGTTTTGAAAGAGATGTTAGCATTTTCTCTATTGATAGTCTGAGAAGAGAAGATTGTTTGGAAGATATTATTTCTATCAGCAGGTAGCTAGATCTTAATCATTTAATGTTTTTTACACCTCCTGTTTACATGAACCTACATAAGAACTAATGTTATTCACCTACACAACTAATGTACTTGTGTATAAGAAACAGACATTTTTTATAGTTCACCAGAACTGCTAATGATAACAAAACATGGCTTATTAGTTTCATTGGCAATTGCATTTTAAAACAAATTTCATATCTATTATTTCATATCTATGTACTCTTTTTGAAGGTACTTGAGGAATAATACAACTTGAATTTGAAAAATCCATCTGTAAAGAGAACAAAGAATCAGACCCAACGGCCCACTCACTATGCAGTCCAACAAGAAGACACAGGTTCCCGTACCAGAGCTAACCAGGTCTGTATGCAATGCGAAGCCCCACAGACAGCTTTCCCAAAAGCTGGAAACTGAAAATTTAACGCCAAGTCACTAAAACAAGGGCTAGTTACCAGCCAATTGTCACTAGCAGGACAGTCAAGTGGTTCCATTTTGACTGAAGCAGATGCCAAAGCAGCATATTGGGGACAATATCACCCCCTTCAACTACCAGGACTCTCCATTCCAGCCATATGGATCATCACACACAGCTATAGCATAGGTGTTTTTTTCCTCCATGAGAAACTAAAAACAAATGGTTGTAACAGTGTCTCACTTTGAGCCCCAACTTCCTGGGGAGGGGCAAAAGGGAGAAAAATATACAGACAGACAAGGAGAGTCAAAAAGGAGATGGGGAAGGATCACTATGGCTCCATCTCAACAAGATGGATATGAGGTACTCTTGAAAGGTTAATATAATACAGAGTACCTCATGATTGTCATATGAAGATGCCTCATGATTGTCTTATGAAGGGCTATCCATTATCATATTTACTCACATATTCCAATTGTTTCTTTACTAATTTTATTGCACATAAATTGAAAGGGTAAACATATATGGATACTATAATTTCTGAAAGACATGGCTACAGTATAAGCATAAATAAAAGCTTTCATCGATAAATTACCAGTAATTACGACAGTATCATTTATTTAAAAGAAACCTACCTTCCAGTAAGAATACATAGTAATATTAACATTACAATACCCAGCGAGATATCTTAATTTCTTATTCCCTATATCTTAAATCTTGCCTTCTGTTATTGTTATCTACTGAATACTCTTAGGAGTCAAATCATTCATGGCTGCTGGAATTGTTGCTTGTGTCATTTGTCACAGTCTGCAAGTCGTCACCATTGTCTGCAACTAATTTCTTATTTCCTATATCTTAAATCTTGCCTTCTGCTATTGTTATCCACTGATACTCTCTAGTCCTCAAATCATTCACTGCTGCTAGAATTGTTGCTTGTGTCATTTGTAACAGCCTGCAAGTCATCACCATTGTCTGCAACATTGTCAAGTCTGTTTTTCCATATGCAGTGATATTCAGAACCGTCAAAAGATGGCCCAATTTCTTGAAGCTCTTCACTATAATTGCATCCTCATTAAAAGATCATGCATCCAAACATCCATGAACAAATCAATTAGCAAGGTCAAAACAATCACTATGTGAACAAATCTATTTAAAAATTTAGTACAGGCAGCTTTTTTGAACGGCTTGAGGAAGGGGTGATTATGTAATAAAACATTTTCAGAACCTTTTGCTAAACAGTGTCAGGGATATACACGAGGAAATAAAGTATAAGCTTTACAACAGCAATGTCATAAACAAAACTTAGTATCTATATGCAGGGGTATTAACAAGAAACGCAAATATTTGTAAGTTTATTTTTAGTTATATTTATTTTGAAAACTGTAGATGGGATTAAGCAAACTAAGAAAACTAAGAATTCCAGAAATCAGATAACCATATCTGGAGATTTATTGCCATGTTATTGACATCAGCATGCAACTTCTGATCAGATTTGCTTATTGCTTTATATGCACATATTTTTTTTTGGGGGGGGACAGGATGTTTTAGTAATGTCAGAAAACATTCAAGGCAATAACTTAGGTTACTTGAATGCAGCGAAGCACATCATACTTTTTGGTTATGGGAAGGCTTTCTTAAAAAGAAAACAAATTTAAAAATATTGTTACAAACACATTAAACACTCTCTGATGAGCAAAAGCCTTCCAAGCACACATGGTTTGCTGGTTTAACTGACAATACAAGATATATGGATATATTAGGTTAGAATAAAATGCATGAGGGCTTGTCGCTAAAGGCAAGAATGTCTTCACGATGGACTTTCAATGGAAAATTGTCTCTTATTTGTGTTATCCATGGAATAAACCACAAAAGCTCTACACATCTAACTCGTTTACTGATGTTTTAACCAGGGTCAAACTACTAGCGTTCAACGTTTTTATCTTCTCAGCCACTGGATGTACACATACGACTGAAAGACAATTGCACATTTTGCATATACTATTTTTTTTACAATTTTTACAGTTTGCCTAAATTTTGAGTAAATTGAAAATTAACACTAGAAATTTTTAAATAGTATTATTTAAATTTTCATTTAAAAAATAACTTTTCTCACTGGGTTGTTTTAATGAAATAACTACCAAATAAATCAAAATAAAATAAGTTTACTGGTAATTACAGTTCTGATATCAAAATATGAATTAATAAATAATTGCATGAAAGTGAAGAAACCAATCTATTTATTGCTTTCAGATATTAACAATTATCAAAAGAAATGGACTGATTGATAACTGAAGTTATCTTGTTGAAATACCTATTTGAAATACAGTCTATTACAAGAACAGTTGTTTGTTGCCATAGAAATTAGCACTAACCTATTTTTCATAAGCATGTCTTGAACTGCTTTTCAGTTTGCTGTCTTGCCACACTTAATGACAAATTGGTTTTGTCTTTCCTGTGGGTAAGATTTGCAAATTGTTAACATTTGCCAAAATAACAATAAAACATTTGGTTGCCTCCTACTTGAAATATACTAGCTCTGTTGCAACAGCGACCACTACTAACTCAAATGATATATTGGCAAGAGCTATTCTGCTTGACCGACAGTATGTTATTTGACAGATGTATACTATTTGTACATTTCTCTGTTCTTTTAGGCTAGGTTTACCCCAAGAAAAATACAGTTCTCCTTATTTTAGAGCTTTTTTTAGGTTGACTGTAATATAACAGAAAAAGAATAAAATAATACAATTGATTCTATAAAGCATTTAGTTTACCCTCTTTTTTTATACTTGCATTGTAGACTTTGATAAAAATGTAGTAAAAAATTTAATAGCTTAGTTACAACCTTAAATGAATTAAAACAGAATAACAAAAAATTACTTTATATTGGAGTTCCCACACGAATTTACTACATCAGCAAGAGCTGTTTCCAATTTCTTTTCAGGTCCTTTGTGATTTATCTGAAGAAAGATAAAATTTAAAAAAGAAAAAAGTTAAGAATAAAACAAAAACACAAAAGTAACTAAAATTTAAACAAAGAAGCAATCTTTGCTGTTATACTTTATTTTAACAAAAAATAAAAAGAAATTACAAAGATGAAACAAAAAGTAAGTTTTTCTTTCCACAGAAAACTAAAGTTTAAATGATAAACAATAATAATATTACCACATAAATGATAACTTACTAGGTTTACTATGACTTGTTGTCCATAATTGAATATCTGATTGTCAAAATGCCTTTGAAATCCATCTAACTGAAAAAAATATAATAATTATCTTATTTTCAAGTTTTATGTGGAATCATAAAAATCAGCTATAACAAAATTAAAACTGACTTACATGATTGTAATTAAGTAAGGTAGGTGGTGGTTTATACCTCAGATCAGGAAGTTGACTCCAAAATAAGGGAATAGAGCCCCGAGTCTGAAATATTCCAATTAAATGCAATTAAAAATAAAAAAAAATTCTTTAGAAGTGAATCACATTATTTCATTATTTATATCTTACATATACTTATACCTGAACAAAAGAGCTTTTGCAGCCATCACACTCAACAATCTGTTCTGTTTCCACAAAATTTGCAGGTTGTCCATCACTATCCAAGCCACGCATGAAGAAACGAGTGCCAGCCCGAAAAACACTTCGACGTGATATTAAAGTCCAAGTAAAAGCTTTTTGATTTATACTGCAATTTTTAATTGCAACGACTATATTGAGTTAAGATTTAACATAATACAAATTTCAAAACAATGCTCAATCAGCTATTCTCCAAAATAATAATATACACAAGTAATGGCAAATAAATAATACCTTCAGGAATTGACAAGCAAAATATTTTCCCAAATATTAAGAAACAGAAAAACTACACAGAAATAATATGAAAATCTTAACAGGAAGATATTAAAAAATACTATTCTACTATTCAAAACAAAAATTCAAATTAAAAAGCTAACCACCTCGATAAGATATAACTAAAAAAGTAAGAAGTAATTCCAGTAGACGTGCTATAAGCTGCAGACATAAGTGGTAAAAAATATTTTACAGATCGAAAACTTGAAAAAATTAATTACTAATTATTATTAATGTTATGGAAAATTAATTAAATAATCAAAAAAGATAAATTACAAAAAATTAATATCTTTTTATAGTAGCAAACTTACAGTAAAGCATAAAAAATATATACATTCAAAAACTTAAGTTCAATTGTAGCTTAGATTACATCTACTGAAACTATTTCTTAATTTACTTTTTAATTATACCTTACCAAGATGCTTGTGAACGTATAATTTTTGTGCTTTCCTGTTGGCAAGTTTGGAATTATGGGAGGATTTTAATTTTGTGTAATTTAGCTTTTGCTAGATTACTTTTCTAGTATTTTGCATGGTTTGGTTAATTACAACAAAGCCCAGGAAGGTTATCTACCTAACAGAAGAGATACCTTCGCAAAGGACTTTTTAAAGGAAACTGGCTTGTATAGACATTACATTTGGGGAAAACCATGAAAACGCCCATGTATCCAGCCTGCTCATCAGGATTTAAAACCCGGTCAATCTAGCAGTGTTCAGCGACTTTATCGCTCAACTGCTGGTGGCTAGCATTTTGCATAACATTAATTTTTTCAATTTCTGGTATGTAATACATAAATAAGTAACACATGAAATATGATGGAAAATTATTAACTACACTGGCAACAGCCCTTTTAATTCCTGATTTTAATTTAAATACATCCTCCTTCAAAGACTCTGTACTGTGCCATTTGTATCACATTTTATATCTTACACATGTATATATATTGTTGGTGCCTGTACATTTAAAACTATATGACCCACTGTGAATCATATTTGCAAAGAAACTGTTGCTATAAAAATAAAGTACGAGGTTTCATTTTCTAAGATTCTGTTGCCATTTTTTAAAACTGTATTCAATAAAATTTTGAGTTGTGTGAGATAAAAATTTAATACAATCCATTAGTGATTATTCTGAGAAACTGGGCTAACTATCTGATCTATCAAACTGCAGTTGAAATAGCAACCTATAATTAAAATAACACAAAGAGTGTGATTGCTTCACAGAAGTCAACAAAACAGTTTGTCACAGGATATATCATATATCATTCAAGTGAATACTGGATAGAGAGGAAAAATAGAGAGGATATTCATATCTTGAAGCATACGTTTCAGAATGCTAAAATGGACAATTTTAGGCTTGTTATCAAAGAATTACAAGAAACTGTCACTTACCAAATGACAGTATTTAATTTTAAACAGTAAGTAGTATGCAAAAGATCCCACCTTTTTTGCCAGATTTACATGGATGAGGTATTATCTATATGAATCTGGCACTAGAGCTTGAACTTTCCAAGGTTTCAAAATAATACTATTATTTTTATATTAATAATAGTGACTATAATTAAGCTAACTAATTGGAGATGGGGGTGAAACTGCACATGTGATACAGAAGTGATTTTGAGCTTTCATTACATTTCATTTAACTTTTCAAATTTATATGAACACAATATTTAAGGAATTTTATGAAAACCTATGACAGTTTTCCATTCAAAGTAAAGGTAGTTATGAACATGTCAAAAACATACAAAAAGTTATGAACATACAAAAAGATATGCAAAATCTATTTTTGTACGTATTTATGATCCTTTAAAATTTTAGGGTCTGGTAATAATAAAGCCCAATATACACATGTAGAAATTACGGTTACAAAATATCAAATAGAAATTTCTCTTCAAAGGATTTTGGAGATCTTTGGGATGTTGGAGTTAAATCTTTTAAGTACTATTTGAAACAAGTTGTCAAACAAAACTGATTTTTGAACAATATTTTAACAATTATGACTTGATTTAAAGGAATTTTAAATTCCTGACCACTATCATACCTGTCTTAAGACACTGATGATTTAGAAGTTCTAAATGCAGAGCATTTTTTTATTAGCAGACCAATTAATATAACATCTGAGCAGATATAAAAAATGTTAATGTTAATAGGTTGAAATTATGGCAGACCATCACAAGATTGATAAAAATTATTTGGAAAAAACGGAGTTCCAATTATTTAAGTCATTTACAATAATGATCTAAATGGCAAGTACTAAAAACCATATAAATATTGGAGGCATGAACTTAATTGATGATAATCTGCCTTGTTTTAGATGGTCAGCTAATAGCATAATAGAAGCATTTTAAGGAAAAGATTAAAAAAAAAAAAATCATGGGTAACCAACAGGTACATTCAAAAAAGACAAAATTATCCATCTTACAAAATTATCCATCTTACCACTAGAAAAATGAACACAACAGCTATTAAAAATTAACTTCATTTATCGAAAAATTAAAGCTTTGGAAAACATCAAGTTGAACATGGGAATTTAGCAAACTTACCTTTGTTTTGGAGGGAAAAAAAATATTATATCTCCAGCAATTCAGCGAATCATTTGATGAATACTTTTCCAAGTGAAATGTAAACAAAATTAATAGATGGATATTCAATCCTAATTTTTGATCGAAATTCATTGGACAAAAATGATTTTTTAAAAGATCTTATCAAAATACAAGTTAATATTGGTATGGAATTTGAAAAACTAGATTTAGAACAGTTCTGGTGTCAACAGTCAGCAGGTTATCCATAACTAGCAAAAGCAGAACTAGATTTTTACCATTTGTGACCACCTACTAGCGGCTGAGCGGTACAGATAAAAAACACTGGTGGTATGGTCTGGGGTTCAAGTCCTAGGGAATGGGCTGGCTCCATGGGCATTTTTGTGGTTTTTCACATGTGTACAAACCACTTTCCCTTTGGTAAGTCCTCCACTAAGGCATTCATCTCCCTAGGCAAGTAGCCCTTGTGTGCTTTGCTGTAATCAAATAAACCAAACCATTTGTGACCATCTACCTTTGTGAAGGGAATTTTCGACACTTCTGCACAAAACAAAAGCCAGAAATTGCTTAAATGCATCCGATGACTTATGCATGGCACTTTTAGAAAAGGGCTTCATCTTAATAGAATTATTGATACTGTTCTGTTATTGGGACCGGATTCAGGTATCACCAAAAGCTGATGATCTGGGAAAAATTCGAAGCATTAAAAATAACTGCCAAAATATTTAAATTACGATATAAAATACGAGACGGTTTACTTGAAGAAAAATCCAATGGAAAAAAATAACAAATATTTGTAAAATTATGAAATTTTTAATGTAAATTAAACAACTTGCCAGAGAAATCAGAAAAAATTCATTTCATGTTTTTTTGTGCACTTTTTTAGATTGAATAATTCTTCATTCCAGAAGAAATTGTATGGAAGATATTAGGCAAATCCAAATTTTCAAATCCATGGTAAATACAATAAGAATAAAAACTTAAGTAACCATTACATCTTTGAAATTTGCATTCTCATTGCAAATTTTGAAAAGACATTCTTTTACTTTTTCTTAAAAAAAAGTTAGCATACTAGCGACTTTAGAAGTAAACACTGGTGGCTTCATATGAGCCAATCTCTTGGTGAGTTTAGCAAAACATCTGGCAGCCACTCTGCTCTCAATAACAGAACAGTACCAAATTATTATGAATAAACAACCTAGCCATTAAAATTTTAATATTGTTTTTAATATTATATAGTAATAAATAACTGTAAATAACTGTAAATAAACATGGCATTTGTTTACGCAATGTTTTTTCTTAATTAAAAAATATACACACATTTTATTCAAGAATAATAACTAACACGTGTAATCAGGTTACACCAAACCCAGCGTGTTTGAAGAAGACTTTTCCATTTTTGGCGAAAAATCGCATAGTTTGGTGTCTTCTTTAATAAGCAAAAATGGTCGACGGGATTTTCTGTAAGTGCCACTAAATGTTATGATTTTTTCCAAATGCTTCCACAAAAGGAAAAATTACAACTTTTTTTTAGCAATAATACAGAAATTAATTAAATGCTAAAATTTTACATTATTTTCTGTTAGATTCAAATTCAAGCAAATATTTTGCAGGAAAAGTCATTATGTAAAACATAGCACTCACATTTACTCTGATTTTAAATCATCAACAAATATAAATTTAAAATATTAACAAACTGAAATTAATAATGGTTAATTACAGTTTAAAGAATAACATCATATACATTATTATATTTAAAAGAATTTAAATACCTAAAAAAATTCTGAATAACCATACAAATGTCAAAGAAAACATATTAGAAAATAAAATTATTATAATAAATTACATCATTGAAAATAAACAATAAAATTGATTTTTTAATAGCTGTTAAGATATAGGAGTGAATGACACACACATACAAAATATATAACATTCTAACTTAGAGAATACTATGCTTAATAACAAATGCAAAGATATTTTTATATTATAAAACTATTTTAAAAATATAAGGATACATCCATGTATAACAGGGAGCCAATAATTTTGCAACTAAGGAAGGAAAAAAGTCACAATGCAAACAAAGGCACATTTCAACTTATTATGATCAACATGTTAAAAATATACACAATTAAATAGTTAAATGCATTCAAATTCTATGCTACTATAATTTTTAAAAAGGTACAAAAATATAATAAATTAGAAAATCAGTCATTCATATTTTTATCACTTTCATTCACTTAACTTTCTCTGAATAAAATTCTGACTTGACTTGTTTTGATTATATTTAAAGTTGTTCAAAACATAAAATCAGATTTTATCAGATGAACTACCTATTTCTGATATTTTTTTAATGCTGACATAACTTTAATACAAAATTCACACCATATCACAAATATTTATATAAAAAATGTTGGTCAGCTAAATTCTTTTTTCTAATGTTTTAGATTTTTCCCTCTTCAAACATACTTACAAAAAAAGTAATTTGTAATACTACTTCATAATTGATTTGAAAATTTTTTAAAATGATTAAAATGATTTGAAAAATGAAATGCATAATGATGAAAAGACATTTTATTATTACCCATTAAAAATTCACTTCTGATACACACATAACCATAAATTTAACAGATTTGTGACAAAGAAAGGAACTTCAAATCAGCTTTTAAGCAAGATAAAACATAATAAAGTACAGAAGTAAAGCAAATGCTAAAAATGCTATATATATTTAATTAAAAGTTACATACTTCTTGTTGAGCAAGAAAATCACGCATTAAGTGAGCATTCCAAATAAACCTCTGATCGGCCTGAAAATTAACACATTACCACAACTGTATAAATGAAAAATAGATTTACATATTAAATCATATCAAAATTCAGAACTAAAAATGATTTTTATATAGAAATAAATTGGAACAGATCTTTTAAAATTATACAAAGGAAATAAACTAATGCATATTAAATACTAAAGCTAACACTCAGAGCCACAGTCACGACATTGTTAGCCAGCAATTGATGAATTCCTGTAGATGAGATTTCACAGTTGGAAATTATCTACTTATATTATATGAACAATTATTAGCATTCTAAGTTAGATAAGAATAAATTTTGATAAGAATTAAATGATTAAATTTCCTTACCTAAGTATAAGTTTCAAAAGAAAACTGCACAAGATAAGAAAACATTTACTACTCACAATTAATACAGTTTAAGAAAACATTAAGCAACTTTATCTAAAAAAAATTTATGGAAAAGGTGAGGTTATGTTATAGCACTGAGGGGGGGGGAAAGAGAATGATTCTGTACCAAGATACAAAAATGATATTAGATACATCTTTTATTAATTATAGTAATGCCACACATATTCATACAAATCATCGATCAAACAAGTTCTAGCTGAAGAAACCCTGAAGTGAAACGGGAGCACAGTGTAAAACATTTTGAGAACCCCTTAATAAAAGTTATCAATACAATATATAAAAAATTCTGATATGTACACCATGATTTCCTTGTATGAAATATTAAATTTCCTGCATTTCATTTAAACTTATTTCCACGAATTTCATTGGAATTTCTCATTTAATTAATTTAGTTCTCACTTCATGACAAGGCAAAAATACATTAAAACTCAAAATATCTATATTAAATATTGAAAGATATAGAAAAACATAAACATCAAATACAGTTAAAACAATAAAAAAAATTTACAATTAAAATTACAGTTTCTATACAAAAACAACCAATTCGGACAGCGGGCAAGTAAACAGACTGTTTGGTGCGCAAAACTAAAAGTTTACTTTTGTTCCCATTTGGCAAAAAGACAGTAAAGGTGTTATAAGGTATTTCTCTTGCCTTCAGCATGCCTTGGTGGTGCAGTGGTCAGCACGCTCGACGCATATTCGAGAGGTCGGTGGTTCGAGTCCTGGTGAGGGCATTGCTCCATTTTTCATCTCTCTTGCTTCGAAATAACCTAATGACTCTAGTGGCGCCTGAACTAAAAGGTAGTGGATGATTCTTCGCCATCAGGATTTGGTGATTGGCTCCCCTAAACCCCAGTTACTCTTTAAATGGGGGAGTATATAAGGTATTTCTCCCACCTTCTTAGCATGCCTTCGTGGTGTAGTGGTCAGCACGCTCGACATGCATTTGAAAAGTCCCTGGTTCGAGTCCCGGCGAAAACACTGCTCATTTTTCATTTTTCCTGCTTTGAAATAACCTAATGAGTCTACAGTGTGGAAAACAACTTAATTTGTTGTAGATGCTATCTGAGTCAATATATGGGATAATTTAATAACTTAAATGATAATTCCAGAATGGATTAAGCATAATTTAATTCATGATAATAAAAGAAAACATTATTTTGTTGTTGCAAAGCTTAGTTTCTCTAGATTGGCAACAAATCCATTATTCTGCGAAATTTCAAATGTAAACAAATATGGCTGCCACGGTAAAAATAAATTAGGCTTAGCCTCATTTAAACAACTTTTAAATCATGGAACAACTTTTAAATTGTTAGAAAAGATGGTAATGTTCTGTTATCAGAACCAGATTCACAGACGTATGAATGTAATGGATAATGAATTTGTTGCATGTGTAATGGATTTGTTGCATAATTTGCATGTATAATGGATTTGTTGCAGAATAATGGATTTGTTGCATGTGTATGTATGTGCATATACGTGTAAATGTATACACACATACACATTTGTGCTTACATATATACATGCATACATTTCAAGATCTGGTCTTGATAGCTGAACAGGAGCGAGAAGATTCACCATAGCCACAAAAGCTCTAGTTTCCGAAATATTGAGCAAAGGCCACGTTAGTTACCTTTTTTGAAAGGGAAAGGATACAGTACTCTTCTGTCAGCAGAGATGGATTCGGACATATGTAATCATGTATGCATGCAATACATGCAAGTATGTATGCATGTATATGCACACACATACACATACATACATGGATACATTTCTGAATCCAGTCCTGATAACAAAAGAGTAACAAAAATAATTTACAATGAATTTATTCCTGAGAGACGGATGGTGATCGCCATATTTTATAAAATCATAATGGAAAGATTTCTAAAAAGAATTAGACATGATCGGAGTGAAAATGCTCATTTGAACAAGTGAGTTCTGCAACATAATAAGCCACTCTAATCAAGCAGTTTCTAGTAAATAAAAGTGTCACAATTCTCAAACATCCCTCTCATTCATCAGATCTGTCATTGGGGAGAGACTTTATTTTTTCTAAAGTGTAATATTTAATGTCATTACAGTCAAAAGTCGTTAATTCGGACCTCAAAGCTAAAAACTTTCTGCGCATGCGCTGCATTGACACATGCGCATAGGCGTTTACGCGTGCCCGTAAGACCTTTACGACTACGCATATGCGTGTGCGCAAGCGCAGAATACGCTTTCACGTGCGCGTTTAATGTATAATGGACGGTATAAGCTAAAATTGTCTAATTATCTATTTCAGTTAATGTTGATGATTGCGTTGTTCCTTAATCTTCGAATTGGATGCGGCTTATTATTTTTTGCAGACTATAAGAGCAATTTTATAAAAGTAAACTTGAACTTTCAATTATGTCAAATAGAATATCTGATGCTGGAGCTCCCAAATGATCTACAAAACGAAAGTATGCTTTGATGTCCGTCAAACAAAAAGTGGAATTGCTGCAAAAAATGGATAAAGACATGAAGAAGGTGACAGAGAGGTTAGTGAAAATGAAAAAATTTCGATTGACAAGTTAGTCGGTATTCTCGACACAGCAATTACGGGACTTGAACAGCGGAACTTTGTAACTGAACAAGAAATTATGTCTGTTTATAGAATTAAAGAGAAAGTATTATCACATAAAATGAAGCCACTTAAACAACTTACATTGAAAGAAATGTTTAATAAAGTAAACAAATAAATATTAAGCTTTTTTTTTTGTAAATTTTGATACCCTTTAGATCATAATTGTTCTTTATTTCATAAATTACAGTTTCATATTTTTAATTTTAGAATTTCTGCATGCCATCTTACGAGATTTAAACTGATGATCTATAATCCGGAAAAAATCTATAATCCGGAATCACCGAAGTCCCGACGAGTCCGGATTAACGACTTTTGACTGTATTTTATTATTGAGGAAGTTTAGAAAACTGTACTCAGTAAACTAACTGAGGAATCAAGCAGTTGCATGAACATTTCAAGTACTGTAAAGACTTACAAGAATTATATATTAAAAGCTAAGAAATAGCATTTTCATCAATTTGTGATTTTGTATGAACTTAATCATAAAAACCTGTAGACACACTATGCAACTATCACTTTATACCACTCAACTACATTTTAATCTAACATTTCATTTTATTCTTTAATGATTTCATTATTACAATCTAAATATATTTAAATATTTAATTCTGTAAATTCCCTGTTTTACTGATGTGTGTTTCACGTTTGAAAATTAAAAAGATTATGCTCAACAAACTGCAACATTATGACTGAATGATACATTCAGAAGGATAAACAAATGTGGATACAGCACATATATTAAAAAGCAAAGTAATTATTTATAACAAACTGTTTCAAGCAACTTTAATTTACAGCTTTAACAGCTTATATCAAAATTTATAATCTTAGAACTAAAATTAATTTTTACACAGCATAATTAATAAGTTGATTACTAAGTCAACTCACTACAAATAACACACTACATTAAACTTTTCAGCAACAACTAAATATATTAAGAAAAAACTTACTCTCTGAAATAAAGGCATTTGAACAAAATCAGGGCTTGTGTTGTGAAGCCGTTGTAATGTATGGCTTATATCATATGTATAAGAGAAATAAAAGTATGGTGTTCGTAGGACAGACTGCACCATAGAGAGATATAGCTTGTTATAATGTGTCTATAATTAAAAATATATGATGGATTATATTTCAGCAAAAGAAAGTAAATATTTTTTTTCTTACACTATTGATACATATATCATATTTACAATTATAAATAACATGAAATACCATGACTAGCTTCTTGGATTAACCATTTTCAACTCAGTTATCAAAGGCACTGATATAGGCTTAACTTCAAAAATATCATAGAGGTATAAGTGCATAACTTATACTGTTATGCTCTTATACCTCAATTACTCTTTACTTTGTAGTTAATATGAATATAAATACGAAATACATTATTTATATTAAGCACTCTGGTTCACAAAATAAAATTCTTTTATAATGTACATAGATCATCTTGAAATATATGAAATTTTCTGGAATTTGTGTTTAACTGATATCAACAAATAATAATTATTATTATGTTATTGAACATAAACCCAGCACCTCATACTACATATTAAATTTTACATGATCATAAAAAGTAAAGTATTTTACCATCAGAGCCTAGCCTGGAAAATTTTAAAATATACAAAGTTTGATTTATTTGACATATATATAAATATCATAAATACAAACTTAATTGCCCCTTTACATTCTACAAATTCAATTATGTTATTAATCCAAAAAGTTATGTTATTGATCCAAGAAATAGATATTTAAGAATAAATGGTAAAGTAATCTATAAAGTGACATGTAAAATAGAAACTAATCAAAGTGTGAAGCAATCCTCACTGCAAACACCATATACCAGTGGTTCTCAACCTTTTTACCATCTAAACAAAAATTGAAAACCTTTAGTACTATCACTACAAAGTAATACTATCACCACCACTCTTGAACAAAGCTCAGATTACACAAATTTATGAATGTTAGAGAGAAGGAATCCCAGTCCACTTTATCCAATAGAAACTGTGGTGTTCCAGAGACAGAAGCAATAATATTTCCTATAAAGTTTACAAAAATAAAGAAATGGCTGCCATAAAATAAGCATTTCCAAATGCTCATGGAGCAGAACAGCCTGAGATATGGAGAAAAAATGGCAAGGTCAACAAATTGGATGGTTCTTGTTGGCTAGTAAAAGTAAGCATTTTCTACATTGTTTAGAATACAGAAAACAATTGTATCTCTACAATCCATTTTGTCAATTAAAATCACTAACCAGAATAAATGCTGCTGGCAGCTGAACAATCAAATCTTCCAAATCTCTCTCATCAATACTCTTATTTGGGCAAAGATAGATATTACAGACAGAAATCAGCATCCGGATGTTCATCTGTACAGCAAATGCTTAAAGAGGTAGATTCAAGGAGAAGGGAACTTAGTGGATAGCTACTGAAGATAAGCAAACCCACACGACTACTTGCAGTTTCTTTCCTAACCACTAAAACCATTTGCATGTCTTTTCTTATCACTGAATATCCGTGTAGCTTTGTTGGGTTAAAGGTTTAAGGAATGTCTCTTGTACTGCAATAAAGACATTTTGATAATTATTAATAAGACATTTAATTTCGTTAAGACCTTGGTGGAAGCTACAATAATTCCATGATATTAGGGTGGCCAATAAATGCGTTTACAATGCTGTTCCTTTGCTTTATACGATATGTTGGAAAGTCTGTGCCTGATTCGATGAAATCGGGAGACTAAGGCTTCTATTTTTGGCACTTTTAACTTTCTTTTTTTGAGCTTTCCATTTTTTGTACTTTTGTTTCCGAGCTTTCCGTTAACTGTTAAAGAAGAGAAGGATTTAAAAAATTCTCATTGCCAGTTATTTTCTTATTCAAGTTTTTTTTTTTTTTTTTTTCTGTATGCCATGTGATGTTTGCATGCCCGAACTCATGATAAATAAATAATAAAAACAGTGCAGTGGATTTGGCACATAAGGTCTGATGGGACAATTTAAGTACCACGCTTTGATGGACTGATGATGAAAATGTCAGGATAATATGTTTCATGCTAACAAGTTGCCCATCTCTGAATTTCAATTCAGCAAGCCCTACACACATTTTGCTCAACAAGTTCTTCCTCAGAGACTGATACCAAATGCGATATGACACCCCTGGATGTGATCAGAAATGTGTGTCATTTTCAGCTGAGAGAAAGTGGTGCATCAGATATTGTCTCGATGAGAAGAGATCCTGTGAGGAGCATTTTTATGCTTTTTGGCTCACTAGCTAATAATGTACTTATGGACTATAAATGGTGATATATTTTCCAGCTAACTAGTAACGGATAATAACTAAAAATTTAGGACATTTGATGCTCTTGCTAATAATGACAGCCAGAAGTGCATACTCTCTTAACAGTACCTGAATTTGTCATTACAATGCAAGTAGGAGAATATTTTAAAGTTGCCATAATTTAAATAGGAAAAAAAATTGGCTTTGACTGCCCCACCACGATGGAGCCCAACAAGGGAACACAGATCTCTGTGTTAGGGCTAGCTGGACCTATATGTAAACTGAGGCCTACAGTCAGCTTTCCTGAAAGCTTATCTCCAAGCCACTGGCACTAAGGACTAAGGGCCAGCTAGCTGACACCAACAGGGACAGCTAAGTGCCTTCTGTTAAGGCTGAAACAGATGCCAAAGCAGTGCACTGATTACAGTACCTCGCTTCTCAAATACTAAGATCCTCCTTTTCAGCCATATGTGTCTTCCCGGATGACAAAGACATAGGCAGTATTCTCACTAAAAAAGCAGAAATAAGAGAGCAAATAACGCAGAAATAACAGAGCTGAAGCTCCATCTCATGGTCTCATCGTGAGCATCATCCTCCACAAGACAGAAAGAGAGGAAGAAGTAAATGCTAAGAGGAAAAGTCACTAGGGCTCCGGGATTTTGACACCTGATTGCCAACAAAGTAATTCCCTGTGTGTGTGTGTGGGGGGGGGATGATCTTCACCTGCTATGTTTAACTGGGCATACTGGAATGGTCTTCATGACTAAGGTGGCTTACTGAGAGCTAGGCTCCTGAAGTACTCCTCCCAGCAATGGCCCCCGCCACAGTGAGGCACACATTAAGATATGGGGTGTCAAAATGACAAATTAAAAAATATTGCAGAACTAGGCAACATTATTTGGATTCATATTTAAATGAATTTATAAAGTGCCAAATTTACAAAAATATATATTTTCTTACTATCTTAAGTGCCATTAGAGATTTCTGGCTACTCGAATAACTGCAAGTTTAAATGAATTTATCAGATAAATTTTAAGGCTTGAGCTCACATTTATTTTTTTTAATATGATGTATTGATAATCTGTATATCATGATTATGTAACAAAATGAAAATGATCTTTGATTATCTACCTAAAATTTACCTATTTATTAAAAATTCCATTGGAATAACTGGCAAAGATTTAATAGGATGTGTGTTCAGATTTTAAGCTTGATGATGGCCAACTTGCATGGTTGACAAGAAAATGTACAAATATTAAAACTAATACAGTACAAAGTCCGAAATCCGGATGTCCAATATCCGGACCTCAAAACCACCAACAATGTTTTTTTCATAGGCTTTACGTATGTGCATTTGATTCCCCCTTACGTGCATAATAAAACATCTGTAGAGTCCCTATTCTTAATTTCACTTCGACACTAAATAAAATAACTTGTTATTGGAGAAACAATCATTTTAGCATAAATTTGTATGATCAGTAATCTGGCTCTTGCTGCATATCTGCTTGGCACATATCTAAAACCGAAACATTCCACATAGATACATCGTTGATCTGATGCCAACCTGGCAAATCCTTATTTATTATACTTTCCTTTTACCGCATGTTTATCAAAACATGATGACTTGTAGCGATGCCTAAACAATTTTTTTATGTTAGTAATTGAATAATAAAGGAGTATGGCAACCTTTTATGTTGACCTTACGCTTGGTGATGATTACAGCTTTAAGTTAAATATGCTAAAAAATGTTGACAAGAAAAATTTAACAAAAATTTCTTTCCATATGCTAAAAATAGATTTTGTTGATGATACTTATAGACCCAAAGATTACATTTAGGGCTATTTGAATTAAGAATAACTAATTTGTTATTCATATAAACCCAAAACCAGCGCCACGACTCATATGGTCGCACTGAGTCGCAGAATTTAGGACCCACAGAGACTGCATCAGGCAGTAAGATATCTAGCACTGGCCCTCAATAAGGCTTTAATTATATGTGGGAATTTATTTATTCAGAACCCTGATAAGCCTTAAGCATGCACAAGAAACAGATATAAGTATAATAAATAACTAATACAAATAAGGCTTAATTATCTCAGTGTGCATAAGCAAGATAAAATTTAACAAAACAACTTGTTGTCAGTCACCAAGCTCATGATGCATAGCCAAATATGTATAGCAAAGGATAGCTAAATTTGATGATGATAGCTGCTAATTTTAAAGGTTTTCGAATATCAAAAAACAAAGGAAAAATTTTCCAAATAATGGATTTAAAGAAATGTGGAAAAGCGGTAATAGATAAAGATGATATAAAAGAAGTTTTTCATTGTGATGACAATGCTTCTCAATCATCAATCAATTAATGAATGGCAAAATCTCTAGTATGATTCTAGATCCAGAAAATACCACTACTAATAGTAAAGAAAGGGACAGAGAAGTTACTGAAAAGGAGAAACTTCGATTGACAAGTTAGTCGCAATTGTCGAAACAGCAGTTACAGGACTTCAACAACACTGTAACTAAACAAGAGATTATGTCTGTCTACAGAATTAAAGTATTAGCACAAAAAACGAAGCAACTTAAACAACTTACATTGAAAGAAATGTTTAATAAGGTAAACAAATAAATATTAAGCTTTCTTTTGTAAATTTTGATAACCTTTATATCATAAATACTTCATTATTTCATAAATCATGATTTTATATTTTTAATTTCTACATGCCATCTTACTAGATTTAAACTGATGATCTAATATCCGGAAAAATCACAAATCCGGAATCGCCAAAGTCCCAATGAGTCTGGATTTTGGACTTTGTACGGTATTAGCACGTAAATACCACCATTAACTTTCAAACATACACTTCCATCAATTCCTTTGAGGAGCTTTATTCAAAACATCTAGTAACTTTTAAATATAAAGGAGAAGTTTTTAACATAAAACTTTAATAGCTTCTGCTTTTTTTTTTTTTTTTTTTTTTTTTTTTTTAATCCTCAAGTTTGACTTTGGTACACTCACTGTTGAAATGTAAACAACTGTATTCTGATTACTTTAACATCTCAATAACAGAGATTATGTTCCTTATTTGAACATGAGGTTTTCATAGTTTCCCAGTGCTTATTCTCAATTGCACTGCATGCAAGTTTAGATAGTTGCATTGTAGAGTTATAAATTTTTTCTCGTTCTTCAAAAATGAATTAAATTGATGCAAGCTTCTGGAGTGATTTATAAAAGAAACTGAAAAATAGCTCTATTGCATAGAACTTAATAATCAAATACTGTGAAAAATCAAATGAAAGACATTATATCAAAAAATAATTTAATATATCAAATACTGTGAAAAATCAAATGCAAGTCAAGTCACTGTATCGAAAAATAAAGGAACAAATAAAAACAGAAAATCAATGTAAGGATTAGATATTATTAGTTTGCTAAGTAGCTAGACTACCCTAATTGTACTTGGAGCGAAATAACAGATTAATATAGGTTCTCCTAAATTGCTATGAAACAAAGATTTTTATATATAGTATATAGATCATTCAATATATATATACACATTCATATCTATTCAAAGAAGAAAGACTTTATTACTTTTCATGGACTGAAAAATTCGCACTTAGAGTGTTCAGAAACATTTTGCTCAGAAATGCGAACAAATATAATAAATGATTTTTATGTGGGTTTTCAGTCAAACTAAACTAATTCACTGAAGCTTTCCATTTGTTATCTACAGATAATGTTCAGTTAATTTATGAAAATATATTGGATATTCTTTTTTCACAAAAATTTAAGATATAACACTTTTTTTTTAAAATCTGCACATGCAAAGAAAATCCAGTTTCTGTTAAGTAATACCATTTTAATAATATATTTTTTCCATTATTAATTACTTTCAAAGTGAAAATTGTGTAATTAGCACTTAATAAGAAGGTTTGAAGTACGTCGTAAAAATATCAGAATGTTCCAGAAAACCTGATATGACAAGTAAACCATTTAACCTTAAAGGAATCCTTATGACACAATGACGAGATTACATACAAAAATTTTACAAATGGACTAGCGTGTTAATTACACAAGAACACTAAGTTGGGGGAGGGGACATGAAACTTTAATACGAGTTGTCTTTTGAGAACTATTACTGAATGCAAAAGTTTTAATCCTTACCTCTTATTCGTATCAGTGAAAACTCACTAAGGATCTAAAATGAATTAATGAATTTAGCATAGTTTCTCCCCAATAGACACCTAAAAAACTTCTGATACTTTAAGCAAAAGCTCAAATTCAATTTGTTACTTGAAAGCTTAAAGAACTAATTTTTAGTTATTATAAATTAAATTTTTTAATAATATATACTTATAAATTGTGCACAATTTTTTTTCCTTCCCATTTCATGAAGAGATGTGCTGAAATGTTAACACCTATGACAAATCTAAAAAAATTTTTCCTTTACCTACTTTGCAATCACTTAAAAATTTATTTTAATTTTACACTTATTGTCTTATTTTTTTTTTCAAACTCAAGTTAAGTAATCCAGCTGCCTCTAGCATTAATTTAATGCTTCATTTTTAATATATGGACAAAAGTATTACTCACTTGTTCTTCAGTCAAATGCAACATACTTTTGGCATATGGTATAACATCAGTATCTGTGATTTGCCATACTGATTGTCCACAAATGTTTCCAACAAGAGATTTTTTGGTAATTACAATTAAATAAGGACCTAAAAAATAAATTAATTTAAATGTTAAAACTTCTCTCAAATTAATGAAATTTGTAATAATGAGAAAAATTAATTCTTACATATATATTTATTTCAAATTTACCTCCAATTAGATGTATAGTTCCCATAATGCCCCATATTGACTGGCTAATAGCACTAGGAGGAATTTGCCCTTGGTTACCTAAATTAAAACATTATTAAAGTAGAATGCTACTAAAATAATACAGATATAAGTAAAACTAAATGACAATAAATTATACAACTAGTTAGTAAAACTATCAGACAGAAAAATTCAGTCTCTTATTAAGTTATAAAAGTTTACAATATTGGAAGCACAAACAAGTCTCTGCTGTTTGACAAAAAATGATACCATTGGTAAGTTACGGTTAAAATTGTCTGAAGTAAAATGGCATATCATAAAGTTGGATATCTGCTAACAATATAACCTTGAAATATTGGCAATTTTGTATCAGCATCATATATTTTTTCATGCAAAAATGTTTTGAGCTAAATGAGCATTATTTGTGGAAAGTTTTGATTCAATTCTTTAATTTGAAAAAATCCACAGCTGAGGCCTCATCAGTAGTTTGTAAAAGCATACAGTCAGGTTGCCTTAAGTGAGATACGTTGTTGCGAGTGGTTTCAAAAGTTTAAGAATAGTGAATTTGACATCAAACAATGTAGCGGAAGGAGAAAAAAAAAAGTGTACAAAGATGTGGAACTGGAAGTATTATTGGATGAAGATTCATGCCAAATGAAGTAGAACTTCCACTTCAATTAGAAGTGACTCAACAAGCAATGCCACAACATTTAAAGTCATTGGGAATGATTCAAAAGCAAGGAAGTTGGGCTCCATACGAATTGAAGCCGAGAAACACTGAATGCTGATACACATGAAAGGCTGCTTGCCAGGCATAAACCAAAGAGCTTTTTGTACTGCCATTGGTGATGAAAAATGAAACCATTATGATAACCCAAAGAAGAAGAAGAAATCATGGGGACCACCTGGCCATGCTTCAATATTGACAGCCAAGCCAAATATTCATGAAAAAAATTCGGAAAAAATATATTTACGGGTGCCCCTAGGCGATAATTGGTGGTACATGAACACCGAGTTTGTACAATTCTTTGACTTGTAATTTTGGTTTTGTGTAGTGGCGATTCTGGGCTCAAAAATCGCTGCTACACAAAGCCAAAATAACAAGTCAAAGAATTGCACAAACTCGGTATCCATGTACACATTGACCTATTTTCACTTGAAAAAATCATCAGAGAATTGCACAAACTAGGCATTGTGCACTTCCTTGACTTTGTCAAAGGTACACATTGATCTATATTCACTTAAAAAGTCAAAGGAGCAGCCAATGAAAAATATATAATCTAAAAAAACTACATTTTAAATCAAACAATGAAATAACGTAAAAAAGGGAATTTATCTTAGCACTACACAAAGGAAATACGCACTTACCTTATTTGTGAATTTACATATCTTCAGTCAAACAAAATTTCTTAACAGCATTTTAAATTAAAAAATTTCCTAAAATTATCTGAACTAGAATCTGCATACTGGAGTCACCACATAAATTCACAAAAATATCCTCCATAGTCTCAGTATTGTCTGACATTCAACCATATGCCTTTACTTCCTATAATAAGGATACTTAATAATGGCTACTACGTAAAATTTCATTTACACACCAGTCAATTAATGCTTTTTGCCCTTTTGTTCCAAATCGTATAGAAACTTAAAATTAATTATACCACATTGAGCCATTTTACCGTGTAAACCACAAAATAACTTATCCAAAATCCGACACACACACACTTTCCAGATCTTTTCCCATCATTCAAATTCACTGCAATCACACAACCAATTACATCATAATAGGGTTCCATAACATTCGACTACTCAGGTTACCATAAATGAAACAACTTGGCGATAAATGAAACAGCAACTTAGCGATAATCCAAGCAGCATCCTTAAATCTATTCTAACCAAAATTCATGTTGTATATATGGTGGGATCAGCTTGGTATCATGTATTATGAGTGGCTCAAACAATTCCTGGGGCTCTCTGCCAAATGCAACTGATGAGACTGAGACAAGCACTCAAAGAAAAATGCTCCTACTACTACTCCAGACATGACAGACTCCTTTTACTGCATAACGCTCATCTACATGTTGCGACACTGGCAAAAACCTATTCAGAAACACTGAAGTCAGAAGTTTTGATCTTCTCACTGAATTCAAAGACATTGCTTCTGATTACTACTTGTCTCGATTGACGATAGCCTGTCTGAGCAGTGCTTCATATTACAGTCAAAAGTCGTTAATCTGGACTCGTCGGGACTTCGGCGATTCCGGATTATCGATTTTTCCGGATTATAGATCATCAGTTTAAATCTCGTAAGATGGCATGCAGAAATTCTAAAATTAAAAATATGAAACCGTAATTTATGAAATAAAGAACAATTATGATCTAAAGGGTATCAAAATTTATAAAAAAAAAGCTTAATATTTATTTGTTTACTTTATTAAACATTTCTTTCAATGAAGTTGTTTAAGTTGCTTTGTTTTATGTGATAACACTTTCTCTTTAATTCTATAAACAGACATAATTTCTTGTTCAGTTACAAAGTTCTGCTGTTCAAGTCCCGTAATTGCTGTGTCGAGAATACCGACTAACTTGTCAATCGAAATTTTTTCATTTTCACTAACCTCTCTGTCACCTTCTTCATGTCTTTATCCATTTTTTGTAGCAATTCCACTTTTTGTTTGACGGACATCAAAGCATACTTTCGTTTTGTAGATCATTTGGGAGCTCCAGCATCAGATATTCTATTTGACATAATTGAAAGTTCAAGTTTACTTTTATAAAATTGCTCTTATAGTCTGCAAAAAATAATAAGCCGCATCCAATTCGAAGATTAAGGAGCAACGCAATCATCAACATTAACTGAAATAGATAATTAGATAATTTTAGCTTATACCGTTCGTTATACATTAAACGCGCACGCGAAAACGTATTCTGCGTTTGCGCACACGCAAATGCGCAGTCGTAAAGGTCTTACGCGCACGCGTAAACGCCTATGCGCATGTGTCAACGCGGCGCATGCACAGAAAGTTTTTAGCTTTGAGGTCCGGATTATAGATCATTCCGGATTATGGGTGTCCGAATTAACGACTTTTGACTGTATATGAAGATACCAAAAATTAGGTTAATTTATGGATAGCCTTAAAAGATGAAGTGTTCTTCTGATGCAATATTCATATGCTGCCAGAAAGATGGGGAAAAAGTAGTGACTGGCGACGGACAACACTTTAAATAAAACATAATGTATCATACTTTGAAAATAAATACCCAATTTTTAATAAAAAAATGGCAAAGACTTATTTGTACTCTCGATACATTATATATATTTTTAAAAACGATTAAGAATAAAATAAATTTAAGCATTAAAAAGTAACTAAATTCTAAAGAATGTATACAAATGTATGTATCCTAGCAAGTTTAGATGTATAAAAATAGTACTAAAAGTATAACACTTAAAAAAAGAATTTTTTTTTAAAGAAACAACAAAGGGGAAAAAAAAAAGAAGAAGTATGTCACAGCATAGTAATGTGGGAGTCATCAACATCCAATGCTGAATTAGAATACCAGATGACGTCAACATCACAGCCCAGCGCAGTAAGAATCATCCCAGGCAGCAAGAGATCGCTTCCAGACGTAGATACGAGCAGAAGGCTCGTATGCCTTCAAGAGTTTGAGAAGATGTACGGTCTTCTCACGTCTAGCTGAAGTCTTTTGCTGTTATGCCTTTCGCTGTGATGACTCTAGATGATCATACTATTTAAATGTTTGTGAAAAAGGACTACATCATTATGTTAATCCTGCATACCGTTAACTTCATCTTTACTTACTTTATCTTATTTACTTTTATTTCTTTCTATTAAATAAACCAATATTAAATATCCGCGCTCTCATGCTCTGAGTTAAAAGAGATTTCTACAGTAATGTCACAAAACTGCATTGAAGTTGCAACTTATTATCCTAGATTACAGCAAGCTTTTATATATATTGTTGCTTTTCTGTATGGGTTTATGCATTTAGAGTGACAACACTTGATGAAGAATGAAAACATAATTTATTACCCAGTATTATTCAGGACAGTTCCAAAAACACATTTACAGTCATCAAAAACTATGACAAGCATGCTGAAACAATCAGCAACACAGGGTTCAGGCAATCAGGCTATAACGGTGAAGACAGCTTCACAGCAAAGCACCAGAGTACAGCTCCCGATTCAGTTCAGTTGTTCTTAGAACTCTACATACTCTCCACACTACAACTAGCAATGCAGTCAATGGTAAGCACTACACTACAGCTCCTGCCTCGGTTTGGCCATTCTCGGAGCTCAGCATACCCAAGGCAAAACTTGATGAGGCATTAGCTCGCAATCAACTGGATAGTCAAGACACTGACTCACTCGCTCACTGACGATAGCCTACGAGACACACGATGGACTCAACTCTGATGACCAACTCGACAATACGTGCAAGCAGGGTTTAAGTAGCTTTCGGGCTGCCTTCAAGAACATTCTGGTACAGTCAAAAGTCGTTAATTCGGACACCCGTAATCCGGAATGATCTATAATCCGGACCTCAAAGCTAAAATCTTTCTGCGCATGCGCCACATTGACGCATGCGCATAGGCGTTTTACTTGTGCACGCAAGACATTTACGACTGGCATATGCATCTGCGCAAGTGCAGAATACGTTTTCGCGTGCACGTTTAATGTATAACGGACGGTAAAAGCTAAAATTATCTAATTATCTATTTCAGTTATTGTTGATAATTGCGTTGTTCCTTAATCTTCAAATTGGATCCGGCTTATTATTTTTTGCAGACTGTAAGAGCAATTTTCTAAAAGTAAGCTTGAACTTTCGATTATGTCAAACAGAATTTCCGATGCTGGAGCTCCCAAAGGATCTAGAAAACGAAAGTATGTTTCGATGTCCATCAAACAAAAAACGAATTGCTACAAAAAATGGATAAAAGCATATCCTTTGTTTATTTAACCGTTCCGAAATCTGTTTATCAATTTCACGCAGCTCTGCGCAGGGGGGGGGGGGGCACGTCGCGGCGCGCAATGAACTGGAAGTTGATCTGTCAACACTATC